CCTCTCTCTCTCTCTCTCTCTCTCTCTCTCTCTCTCTCTCTCTCTCTCTCTCTCTCTCTCTCTCTCTCTCTCTCTTTCTCTTTCTCTTTCTCTTCCTCCTCTCTCTCTCTCTCTGTGTCTCTTTGTCTTTGTCTTTCTCTTCCCCCCCCCTCTCTCTCTCTCTCTCTTTCTCTCTCTTTTTCAGGTATATAAGAGCGACTGAATAGCATTCCTTTGAGATATAACGCAGCTAGATGCTCTCACCCCAACCCCCTGTATATTAATACAGGACCTGTAAAGACATGACGTAGCTAATAGAGGGAGCGCATATCTACGCTTCCGCTGTCTCTATTCTACCTTACGGCAGCAGCTTGGTGAATATCTCGGGGAAAATTAGGAGAGAGATAAACATCGCATTCCAATTAAGTTTTACCATTAAATACTGTACTATATTTCGATATAAATACGAGATTACACCCAATGTGGACAGCTAATACGTATTTATTAAAAATTACTGGACAGCAAATCATATCTTCATGTAGAGCATGATACGTATGAAGTAATATTATCAGTAAACTTTGAATGTGCGCGAGCGTTCACGAGTCAATACGTCCTCAACGTTCCTTATGTTATATGTAAATTCAATGCAACCTACCTAACGCTAAAGTTACCAAGCGAGTTAACTATACCTCTTTTATAAGTGCGTGTGTCTGTCTATACCGTATCACAGTAACGTTTTTTTTCTATTTCGACTTATTCTACATCAAATTTTTCCTTCTTTATCTGGAACATGGCCGATTTTCTCTCACTCTTTCCGTCTCACGCCTGCGTTTCCCGCGAAAAATTACGTCACACATCGTTTTTGGTCTAATTGTGACGTAAACATGTAGTCACGTGTGCGATATGACGTCACACGGACCGCGCCGTGTGACGTCACACGCGGGGTGTGTCGTCTGCGCCGCGGAGCCGCTCCCAGGCGTAGGCGGCGTCGAGCACGGTGACGTCATCCCACAGCTTGCCGACGAGCATGAGACCGACGGGAAGGCCGTCGGCCGTGAAGCCAGCGTTGATGGAGATCGCCGGATGTCCGGTGACGTTGAACACTGCCGTGTTCTGCAGCATACCTGACGAGTGGTCGATCATCTCTGCAATAATGAGTACATGTGCAGAGTACAGGCAGTATGCATGTAAGTATACATATATTATGTCATCGAGAAGCTGAGAGAAGGAGAGCGTGAAAGGGAGAAAGAGAGAGAGAGAGAGAGAGAGCGCGAGGGAGCGAGATGGGGTGAACGGAAGGGACAGAGAAAGCTCGGATTGAATGGGAGTATGGTATGTAGGAAGACAGGGTGCCATTAGAACGTAGCACAAAATTAAATATACACGGGTTCATAACAGTACTAATGCTTGTATTTACTAGTGCATACAGCGGTTACATAGAGTCTCAAGTATCTACTGCTTGTCTGTCATGTGTATGTTGACGAACAACGTTCAATCCTAGACTATACAGGCGTTCACATCAACTAAATGATACGATAATTAGTGCCTTGTAACGATCGCATCTTGATGTCTAATTAATGGTGTCTTGATGCCTATAATTAACCAGATAAAATCTCGCGACTTGATATTTATACTATTATGAACACGTTTACGAGTAAATTTATTTTATTTACGCGTGTATCATAGTTAGCTAGGCTTACCTCCGATAGGGGTCGTGGTTGTCGGTATCTCTGGCGCTGGATAAACGATGGTTGGCATAGCTAGCACGTCATACTTCTCTAGAGCCGCGTTGAAGCTGGCTGTTATCTGTTATACATACCCGTACACACACATATAAATATATATGTATATATATATATAATTAAATATATATATTATCCAATAACGTAAATATTTCGGGCTGAGTTTGTTGTAGTTTGGTTGGTGGCAAGACTCTCTCAACTACCTACCAGATTAGAGACTAGGCCTTCCACCCCACCTCCCACTACTCTGCCACCTACCTACCAGCTTAGTGCCTAGCCTTCCACTCCTACCTCCTACTACTCTGTCATGTACCTACCAGCTTAGTGACTAGGCCTTCAACCCTTACCTTACACTACTCTGTCACCTACCTACCAGCTTAGTCACTAGGCCTTCCACCCCACCTCCCACTACTCTCTCACCTACCTCCCAGCTAAGTGTCTAGGTGACCCCACCACTACTCTCTCACCTACCTCATGGCTAATGTTTCGTGCTTTGGAGTAGAAGTGGAATCCGTATTCCTCACGCACGTACTCGGAGGTTAGCAGGAACAGCTTGGTGACGTAGGAGAGGTACTGACTGTGTGCGCGGAAGCCACGCCTCTGTGCATCCGCCAGTGCCGTAGACTGCATCCCACGATCCCCGATTTGGACGCCTGCGTCATGTAGATAATTAACAGTAATTAACCGAATGAGTAATTAAATATTTAATCCTCGGAAATGCATCGCGTTCAACGGACATTTAAATGAACGTGGAATCTATTGTTATAATAAACTGTTATATATTGTTGTAACTAACTGGTTTCTTATGTATAGAATTAATACGAACTGTGCGGATATAGTGGTTTGATTCACCACATGTGATCGTCCGTGAGTGATTATGAGCATATAAGCAATAAAAAGTAAACCTCCCCGTTGGCATGTTCACGCTAGAGGTCGACGTGTCGCACCTTCTGCTTTCAGCATGCTCTCCCCTATACCGTGCGCCGTAATGGTAGTGAAAACACCTGAAGCTGAAACATAAAGCGATCCATCAGCCGAGATTTGTTTTTTCTCCATTTATTTCAGGACGAACTAGTTGACTACAGCCCTAATCTGCAGTTTTGAGATTGCGCAAGAGAGAGTGAACGAGAGAGAAAGAGAGCGAAAGAGAGAGAGAGAGAGGGAGGGAGAGAAGGGAGAGGGATTGAGTACATGCCTTCAATGTGAGCCGGTATAGACACATCTTCGACCGTTGCCCCGGCAGCTCTCAGCTTATCCAGCGCTCCCCTCACTATGCCATTCACTGGATCGTGGCAGTTGGCAAAGCCTTCCTTCACTACTCCTATCTTTAACTGCTTGGGGTCGCCCTTCAGCTGTTAGTAAGCATATGAACACATACATCAGCGATCCAATCAGTGGATGTCATGAATGTTACTATTGCTGAAATTGTCATCACTACCGCCACCACCACCGTCATCGCCGTCGTCACCACCACCAGCATCGTCATCATCATCGTCGTCGTCACCTGCTCGGTGTAGTTGGGCACGCGGAGGTCGCGCGGCTGCCTCGTGTCGTTGCCGTCGTCGTATCCCGCTATCGTCTGCAGCAGCAGCGCGCAGTCTCGCACCGTCGCCGCCATCGGTCCCAGATGATCGAGACTTCGCTCCATGCTGCAGGCGCCCGTGTACGGCACCAGCCCGTACGTCGGCTTCAGACCCACGATGCCAGACCAGCAGGCTGGAAACCTGACTGAACCGCCCTGGTCGCCGCCGATTGCCATATCAACCTCGCGTGCTGCCACCTGTTGGCGCAATACGTAATAAATCAACGAGTGCGGAATGTGAGCGTTTAGTTATGGGGAGTGATTGCCTGAAGTGGTGGGTGGGCGGTGGTGGGTGGGTACTTGTGTTGGAGTGGTGGGATTGTGGGGTGGGTTGGCGTGGGATTTATTTGGTCAGGGTAATGTGTATATTTGGGCATAAATATATTAGGATAGAAAATATTTGCACTACCCTAAGGGCTGCACTGAGGGCTTACGTACCAGTGCTGCACAGCCTGAGCTGGAGCCTCCAGTGACATGGCCCTCCTTGTGCGGGTTTCTCACAGGACCCGTCCCACACATGGAGCCGCTGCCACTCAAACACATGTCCTCACACGCCGCCTTCCCTGAAACACGGTGACGTCATCGTACTGAGTGCCGCGGTGTATCGTGGAATAGATCTCGGAGGAATAATTCTTCGGGCATGATGCTCTGACTAGATGCATTAATTTTGGTATGTATATGGAACTCGTATTGAGGAAATAAAATAGTACAACGGTTTGGTAGTAACACTATGTAAACTTAGAAATACAGAAGAGAGTGTAGCGTCTCAGGATGTTTCTCATTAAATGTCATGTTTGTTTTGTTCCTAAATTTGTGGATGGATAAATCTGTGTATTTGTTCCTGTTGCTGTTTGATGATTTTATGATAATGTTATTTATATTCATGATGTGTTTTATATGTTGTCGAATCATGCACTATATTATATGCATGTCATTAGTCACGTGATGTAAACGACGCCCGACGACGATTTGTGCCTGTCTTCTCGACGCCCGGCAGCTTACAGGTACCGCTCACCTCCACGCCGCTCAGCCCTGTTCCTGGTCGACGGCCGTGTAAACCGTTTTGCGGAGGACTGTGTTTTCATCCCGGTCATTCTACTCGTCGTGACCGGCGTCAACCGCATCGTCACAGACGATTTCAACGACTTTGGACTAGTTACTCCGTTGCATATTCGCTAAAACTGCGGCGGCTTCCGCATTATAAACAGAGCCATTTTTGTTCTGGGGTTTACATTGCTTTGTGATTTGTTTTTTGTTTATACAAAAGTAATTTCTGAATAGGGCCGTAATAAACATACTAGAAATTACCACACAGTCTTGCTTAAGTTATTCTTTTGAGGTCACTCAAAAAAAGGTGAGGAGGTTGTAGAACACGCACGTGCAGATGTGGGTTGGTGCATGATGTTTGTGTTTGGATAAACACAATATAAGCAAATATATCCAACCAAAAAAACAAAAGAACCTACATTCTCCCACGAGAGCAACTAATATCATTTAGCTCTACAGAGAAATACCGTAGGCCTACTGTTAATGTTAGTTATGTACCGGTGATGTGTCCACCAGCATCCAGTACCCTCGTGACGACGGTGGCGTCGATGGGGGGCATGAATCCTTCCAGCACACGGGATCCATTCATCATGGGCACACCAGCGACCTGGATGCTATCCTTGATGGCGACGGTGCGACCAGCCAGCAGACCCGTGCATGCACCTCTGATGTCGCACCTCCAGTACCTGACAAACACAATACATCACAATTATACCTCAGAGCCACTCGCTTATACTTGACCTAGGTGTCCGTTTGGGTTCTGGTTTTATGGCTGCATGCAATTGACATAATTTATCTATTATTATCCGTGTGAATGACTACGTTAATATGATCGAGCTAGCTACGTGGTGTATATAGGTAAATACCATGCGTTGTAGGGGTTGTCCTGCGGTTTGGGTCTGTAGCCGGGAGTGCGCGGATACTTGACTTCCGGTATGGGTTCCGTCATGGCCGCCAGGCTCTTGAACGCCCGTAAAACTTCGATCATTTTCTCTGCAACATAAAGATTTTGATGAAACTCCACACAAATCAATGTTTATGATGTTTATCAAGAGTCCATAATAAATGTCTATGGAGCTAGCGGGGGGGGGGGGGCAGAGACATGTAAATACATTAAATAGTCAATGGCGGTGACCTTCCCAGAACACACCACGCACGTGGCTTTGCCCCCAGGCATAATGGGTTAGCTGAGCTCCCGTCAGTGACATGTAAGAATTCATATGAGTGTCAGTATTCACCTTTATACACCTCCAGTTCCTCGTCATTGCAGTCTAATCCGTACTGCAGGGAGATGTGTTGGAGTCGTGACATGGACGGGGCGTTCACACCCCTCACACCCACTGGCATGGCTGCATAAAATATGAAATATCATGAATAGATCTCTAATTCTACTCATACAGTTCTGCGAATACTGCCACTAACTTTATTCGCAGGGTTATATATGCCCACCTGTACATATAGTGTTACATTGAAGAACTGGGCCATGCCCTAACCCTACATCAATATTTCATGCTGCACTCTCCCTACCATGCATGCCCTAGCTAACCCGACATCAATATTTCATGTTGCATGCTTCATTTATACTTTATCTCGTAATCTCGTAATAGCAGCTCTTCAGAGCTATATATAATAATATCTTATGTATCGATAAGTGGTTACCTTTACTTTCTGGACGAGTCGCGGTCCCCATGGCCATGGAATCTTCCACCTGCTTGTCCTGGGCGTTCGCCATATTGCTCTCGATCCAGGCACGCTGAGCTACTGAGCTACGCCGCTACGCCCACCCAGCGCTATATGATGTCATCAGATGTTATCACACACAGCTCAGGGACTAGTAAACATGACCTGTGTCCAAGCGGTTTATTTTTAGAAACGCTAGCTAGCCGGTAAGCAAGGTAAGCGAGACGCAAACATTTCGAAACTATATACACTGTCCTGGAGGATATAATATGGTTTATATACAATTATATTCCATTCTCAGTGCTGCACTGCGCCTGTGACATTTCCAAATATCTAGGTCCCCAAAGTAAGGATGCGATCATGACATATTGTCATTTATGTCATTAATGTCTTGCGACCGCTGAGTGCTGCCGCGGTGATGATGAGGTTACAACTTCATATGCTGTCAATTCACCGCGGCTATCTTTAATAATAATAAAAATAATTAAAAAAAAGTATATAATAATAATTTGTTTCTTTTCACTCTAGGCACATATAGATACCGCTATATATCTGTGCTAGCTTGGCGGGGACGTCGCGTCTGTATAGATATACGATAATAAAACCTCATAAACATGTAAAACCCTTGCTTGCAGCGTCTTGTTATCATATATATCTTGTCTCATCGCCTGCTACACCTTATAAGTTATATGTATACGCGTTTGCGCGTGCGTATGCATGTGCGTGCGCGTGTGCGTGAGCGTGTTCGTGTGCGTGTGTGTCTGGTGGGAGGGGTTGATGGCTGGGTGGTTGTGTGTAGGTGTGTACGTTAAGCCTATAAGATCGACCGAATAGTATTGTCTGAGAAAAACGCGCCGAGATATCCGTACCCCTGACGGTATATACATTAGTATAGGACCATGTGAAAGACAGCGCGTTGCCTCCTATGTGAAATATTGAGATTGGGATATTCGATGTACGCCTACTGCTGTACGCGTTCTTTCTCTCTCTCTCTCTCTCTCTCTCTCTCTCTCTCTCTCTCTCTCTCTCTCTTTCTCTTTCTCTTTCTCTTTCTCTTCCCCCCCTCTTTCTCTCTCTTTGTCTCTTTGTCTTTGTCTTTCTCTTCCCTCTCTCTCTCTCTCTCTCTCTCTCTCTCTCTCTCTCTCTGTGTGTCTCTTTGTCTTAGTCTTTCTCTCTCTCTCTCTTTCTCTTTCTCTCTCTCTCTCTCTCTCTCTCTGTCAGGTATATAAGAGCGACTGAATAGCATTCCTTTGAGATATAACGCAGCTAGATGCCCTCACCCCAACCCCCTGTATATTAATACAGGAACGTGTGTAAGACATGGCGTTGCTAATAGAGGGAGCGCATATCTACGCTTTCGCTGTCTCTATTCTACCTTACGGCAGCACCTTGGTGAATATCTCGGGGAAAATTAGGAGAGAGATAAACATCGCATTCCAATTAAGTTTAACCATTAAATACTGTACTATATTTCTACATAAATACGAGATTACACCCAATGTGGACAGCTAATACGTATTTATTAAAAATTACTAGACAGCAAATCATATCTGCATGTAGAGCATGATACGTATGAACTTGAAGTAATATTATCAGTAAACGTCCAATGTGCACGAGCGTTCACGAGTCAATACGTCCTCAGCGTTCCTTATGTTATATGTAAATTCAATGCAACCTACCTAACGCTAAAGCTAC